CTATTTTATTATAGTATGCTTTGATTTACATAAATAGAATAAAGCCATTTAAATCTGTTTTACAACAAGAGAGAAGGAATATCATCTTCACCACCCCACAGTGTGCCACTCCTAAACTCTTATCAATAATTCAGGGATTAGAGAGAGACTCAGAACCACATGCTATTTCCCCCAATGCAAATTTTCTTCCCTGGTTTTAACCATGGTTAAGGAATTATGTTTGCACCCTAGCTTAATGGAGTTTGTAGCCTACTCCAAAAGTTGATTAACAGCAAACTTTGGCTAAGCGTTAACCAACTGGTCCATCTATGGTGCCACTGGTTGTATTTCATCAGTGGCTGGTGCTATTTTCTAAGATGCACAGTGCAGGAGGTTAAGGCAACAGCTTATATTTGCTTCAGACTACACCCCTGGCAAGTTCTACAGAATTCTGATCATAGCCATTGCTAGCAGATACAAACTTACATGAACTATTCTGTTTCCCGAATCACTTTGTGGTTCATTGGGTTTGTGAGTTCATAGAACGGCCTCACCCAGAACTGAGCCCCGAAGGCATTAAACACTGTCGGCGCCCACCACCGGCCCACGGACCCACCTGGGTGAACTCTGAAGGCATCTGCTTACTTCCTAGTTGGGCTGCCTGACTGGTTGAGCTCCAAAGGCATTTGAATGCCTTCGGAGCCCACCTCCAGGTCCAGCCGGCCCTAGTGAGCTCAGTCAAGTGGGGTGGCCCAACTCTATAAAGACATTCAGAGCTCACTCTGGGAGCTCACTTAGGCCGGGCCAGCCCAACCCGAAGGTGGGCTCCAAAGGCATTTAAATGCCTTCAGAGCTCACTTCCAGTTGGGCAGCCCAATCCAGAAGTAACCTCCGAAGGCATTCATAGCTCACTTGGGTGGGGCTGCGGGCCGGTGGTGGGCTCCAACAGCATTTAATGCCTTTGGAGCTCAGTTCCGGGTGGCCCACCAGACCCGGAATGCCTTCAGAGCCCAAGAATGTGTCTCCCATGAACCTCCACGAAAAACATGGAGGTTTGTGGGCGGATCATGGGAGATACATTCTCCCGAACCCGTGGTTCGCAAACCACGAACTGGCCTGGTTTGTGCTTAAACCAGGGTTCATGACCAGCTCTAGTATATATTCCTTGATTCATTTTATACTAGGTTAACTATTTCTGTAGCTTTGTGATCTTTTAAGCACAGTATGGATAGACTAAGAGTTCAGGTTACCTATGAAGGCTCTGAAAACAGTATATATACACGACACACAAACACACACACACAGACTGTCTACTTCAAGTGTTTTCATTCTGCAGGTCAAAATCCTTGTTCTCATTCCTCCCTCACCTCAATTCATTACATGGACTATCACAGATTGACTGAAATGGGTTCATTGTAGTTTGCCTTTAACTAGAGATAGCACATTATAACACGCTAATACAAAAGTTTAGTACAGCAATCTTTAAATCAATATGTTGTCGAAAGCAACATATTTAAATCCACATCTTTAAATCCACTAATTCAGCTCTATTACAAATACCCCATCATGAGACTTATACATTTTCTAGTGAGTTTCCTAACCTAAAATGGCCCAGCTCTACAAAACAGTCAAGCTTCAACTAGCCTTCATACCTACAGACTTTTACAGACTTTGAAAACACTATCTCAGATCTCACTCTCTGCTGGGTTCCCACACTCTCAAATGGGGTTGGGCTGTTACAAACCCAACACAACAAAGGGCACAATTCCCTAGACAATTATATACCCTCTCACACAGTAACTGACATCTAGTTGCACCTCTCCCACTGACAGGGTTGTCAATGTTAAGATACTTTCATAAGGCATAAAAAGCTGGGCCCAACATGCATTAAACACAAATAGTGTTTAGTATTTATACTAATTAGTAATAGTTAATACTAATCTGAAATTACTTTTTACTTCTTCCCTCTGAAACTTGGGAAATTATGTCTTACTCATGACAGCCCATACTGTAAAAAAGATAAAGGCAATGATAGGATAGTAGAGACTGCAAATCTTTGGAATTGCCTTTTTTTGCCATGAAGTCACAGCTGACATCTGGCAACCCTGTAGGGTTTTTGAAGCTAGAGACATTCAGAGGTGGTTTGCAGTTGTCTGCCTCCATGTCACGACCCTGGTATTCTTTGGAGGTCTTGCATCCAAATACTTGCCACGCCGACTCGGCTTAACTTCCAAGATCTAATGAGACTGGACTATCCTGGGCTATTCAGGTCAAAGCGTGGGATTGCTTATCAAGCGTCAAATTGAGAGGAGTGACTATTAAGATATATGCTCTACATTTCAAAAGGTTAAACTGGTTTAGGTGTATAAAAGAATGATTCTATGTAAAATGTAAGCAGTCATAATGAGTACATGCTCCATGTTTGTTGTTTGTTAGTCTCTTTTGATCTGTAGTTATTGTCTTTCTCTTTTCTATGTAGAAAATTAATAAATCCTTTTTTAAAAAATTGAGAGGAGTGAAACACATTTATTTATTTAGATTTATATCCTACCCTCCCAGCCAAGGATGGCTTAGGACGGCTTACAAACAGAATAAAACATACACATAAACTTAAATAGTCCTAAAATCAGATATAACAAATCAACATTTAAAGTGCTAGCAACTAATAACACTAACAGATTATTAAATGATGGCGGTCGACCTTGTCTTACATCGTAGTGGTCAGCATGAACACATCTATGCTTAGAATATGTGCTAAATGTACTGATAACCAAGTTAACTGCTTACTATTTCAATTGGTAAATTTCAGTCTGCAGTCAATGCACAAGAGGGACTTAACCCTTATGTCTTTACAGATAACAGCAAAATCCCAGAATACCTGCTGCTGCAATTCAGTTCTCCAGACAAGACACCTCACAATTTTAATTAGAAGGTTTACAAGCCTTATCAGGAACCATTGCTCATTTATATTCAACTTACTAGAACCTCAACTGTGTCTTGAATTTACTGCACTTTATATCAGAACCATTAGGGATCGAAACAGTTCAGCAACTATGAGTAGGATGATTAAAGCTCCCACCTATGAAGAAATCAGTTGTAAGTTAAAATACCAGCCCTTTTAGGATATTATGAAAACAAAACTGTATAGACTAACATGTATTTTAGCCCCCCAAAAAGTTTTATTTGATGTACAAAGTTAAAGCTTGAAAGCCTATAGCTGATTCCTTGGATATTTAAGGATTCTGGCCCACCTTCTAAATATGCAATATGATGCACTGACAAGCACAGAACAATCTAGTTTATAACTAGAAGAAAAATCTCTTTGATGCAAGATTGTCTGGCTCCTTCACAGCCCAGCCATTAAATGAAATCTGAACAAAACTAGAGAACACTTAATTATTAGGGCCCAGTAGGAGTAATTCTAGGAATTCTCCACACAAATATTTTTATTCTGATAGATTCCAGTCTGTGAAAATCTCTTCTTACCAATAGGATTAAGAAAGAACTACTAGATCAAATGGCAGGGACTTACAGCTAGAATAAGACTACTGATCTTAATCTGCATGAGAGAGGCCATTTCGGCCTATATACCTAAACTGCAGCTGCCTTATAACGGAATTCTTTAAGTCACAGAAGTCTAAGCACAGTGCCCATCTAAATAATTTGGTCTTATGCTGCTGACAAAACATTAATAATATGGAGCTTACCTGAACAGGAAGGCTATTCTACCACAAAGGATCTACCCGTGAAAAAGGCTTGAGAGTGGACAGATGCAGGCTGAATCTGCCTGCATGATGGCACTTTAAGTACTGTCTAATGAGTGAAGCTGTTGCCCCAGGAGAAGGGGATTCTGAAAAAACAAGGGTATCTGTAGAACCTAGACTATGAAAGGCTTCATGGGTCATAACCAGCACCCTGAATTGAACCTGGAAACAAATAGGCAGCGAATGCAGTAACTTTTACAAGGGTTTAATAAGTGAACAACAGTTAAAGCCAGTCCTGAGCCTGAACCTGAAGCCAGGTTGAACCTGATCAAGGGCACGTGTGTCACCCAGGTATCCCTAGAGCTGCTCTGCCACCACAAGCTATATCACCCACAACCACCTCATAAGCCTGCAGATGGACTCTATGGCATGGTCTGATTCATCCCATGTCTCCCACCAATAACGATTTCATATTCCCTACCTCCCTGGTAAGCCCTGGAGATAGGTCCTGCCAGAGACTAGGAGAGGATTTCAAGGAGTGACCCTGTTTATGGGCTCAGCAAGCCCAAAGTATAATTTCATGTGGCTTACAAGGACAAGGAATTATTTATTTATTTATTTAGGTATTTTTACCCCGCCCTCCCCGCAAGCGGGCTCAGGGCGGCTTACAGGGGCTGATTTACAGGGCGGCTTACAGGGACTGATTTATTATCACGGAGACTCTCAAAATTCTCCAAACTTGGTCGAAAACCATCAGTCTCTGAGAGTGGACCATCCTTATCAGTTCACTGTCCCTGCATGTAGGAGGCAGCAAGCTCAGACAGTGATCTTCAACTTGTCCCTGTCCTGTGTAATGTCTAGCCTTGAAAGCAATTACCTGGGAATCAAAAGTATGCAGTTGTAAAAAAAGACTACATCCATGGGGCCTCACAGCACAGAGTGATTTAAAAACTGGACCTTATTTATAACCTGAAAAACAGAAGAATAGAATAGAATAGAATAGAATAGAATAGAATAGAATAGAATAGAATAGAATAGAATAGAATAGAATAGAATAGGAAGATACGTTTGCAGGATACTGTTGTGTTGGCAATGCTGACAGTGATATTACTGTTCAGAGTACATTCAAATAGCTTAATATTGCGTAACATGATATGACTTTAAAATGACATCCTTCACTAGTCATAAACCAAAGAATTGTGAATGTTGTATTATAATGAATTACAAACATATTAAATAGATCCAATTTCAATAAAAGCATACAGCAGTCATTGCTTTCTTTTCAGAAAAGGGATCCTGACAGGCTCACTCTCTTACCTCAAGTTCACAGCTGTATTCTGTGCCATCCAATAGTACTACTTTACATTGGACAGTTCTGATCTTCTTAGGAGTTTTCTGAACAGCTCTCTCAATTTCAGCTTCAGCTGTCTGCACTTCTTTGGTCTCCATTTTGCCTTCCTCACTCCCTTGTTTATCTTCAGAAACAATATCTTTCCTGTCTTCTTTCACAGGCTGTATGAGACAGTGTAGATTAATGCATCATAAAGCTGTGTCCACAGCATGGTAAATCAGGATCATTATCATTACACATCTGATTACTTTACTTTTAAATTCAGAATTTATATAACCTAGTAGAAAACCGCATGATCATTGCCTATCAAACCATTTCTGCGCTAGAGTTCAACTAAAGAGTGCCAGAGTTAAACTAAAGAACCCATTCCATATGTGTGATGCATAAGTCTGCTTACTGTTGGGTGTGGATGATGAGACAATCGTATGCATAGGTGGGGGAAAAGTAATTTGCACTTGGTGAATCTATCTTTAGACTTTTCTTACTGCATTCATGGAAACATTCCAAAATCTTGTTTCTCAACCTCTATCTCTTTCCTTGTTCAAGTGAACAGTGCAAATTCACTACATAAATTTCTACGACGGATTCCACCAATACCATTTTTTTAATTTGGGGAACCACAACAAGAATTAACTCCCTGTCCCTGCTTTCCTTGAAGCAATCCCTTTCACTGGACATGGGCCAGTCTGAAGTGAAAAGAAAAGCACTTTTAAAGCTCCTTCATGGGCAGAGATCAAACTTGCAAAATAGTATACTTAAAACAATCAATAAACTCAAATTAAAACAAAACTATAGCCTTTAAAATAATCCCACTAAAGTTAAACATTCAGACTTTACTAACCCACCAGCCCACATTTACCTAGGTTAGTCATCTGTAACATATTAAGGGGGGAAAGTTCTAGTTTAAAATGGTTCTGGTTTAGTAGAACTTCCCTGCTAGCTATCTTGATGGCAGTTCTTACTGAACAGAAGAGACTAAGTGAGCAGCTCGTTAGAAGGCTAATAATTCCCCAACTTTCCCCACTCACTTTCATTTCTCATTCATCCCAAGACTCTATTTGTAAGGGGCAAAATAATGATCTTTAATATTTAAAAGCAAATCAAGGGCATCCTAACACACCCAGGCTGATTTCCCACAAGCACTGCTCCACGATCACTCTTCCCTTTTGCCCCGATGGTACGTGTCAATTTCACAGAAGCTGCTGCAGGCCGCATTTTGCCCCGCAGCTTCACGTGATTTTCCCTGCGTCTACTCAATCCTGTTTTTTAAGGATTGAGTAGATGCGGAGAAAATAGCACGAAACTCCGAGGCAAAATGCGGCCGCGCAGCAGCTTGTGTGAAATTGACACGTACCATCGGGGCAAAAGGGAAGAGCGAGCGTGGAGCAGCGCTTGTGGGAAATCAGCCCCAATGATACTCAGAATCACAGCATGTCATTTCATCAGTAGCCTAATATCCACTACATTTTACACAGATTTAGTTACATGTAAACAGAATATATCAATTAGCAGCCACTGAAACCATTAAAAATCCTCTATAGGAAAGCTTTTGGTCATTTTCTTTTCTTTCCAATAGATACCTGTGTCTCGGCACTACTAACAGAATCTTTTTCATCTTCTTTGTCATCACTTTTAGCTTCCAAAAAAATCTCAGCAAAGTCTTCCTGCTTTTCCTTAGGCTGAGTTGCCTCTTCTGGAACAGGACATTCACCCTCCTCCACTACTGCCAACTGTTTCTTCTTATCTTCATCTTTGGGTTCTGTCAAACTGTATGACTTTTGTTTCTTAAGCCAGGGTGGGATGAAGCGAGAAATACCCTTGCTTTCAGATGGATCCTTTTCCTTCTTTGAACTTCTAGGGCTCCTTTGGCTAGGTGGGTCCTGGGGAACAGGAGAACCTTCTGCTCTTTCAGACTCCTGCTCCTTTTGACTTACGGGTGCATCCCCAGCATCTTCCTTTGCTGCATTTGCTTCCAGATTCTCTGACTCCTTTACTTTTGTTTCTGAACCAACTTCAGTCGTCATGGTCACTGGAGATGCTATAAAAACCAATATGAACACATGTACATATTATTTCAGAAGCAACAGATTTTAGACAGGCAGTTGTTAAGATATCTAAACTGTAGCCTACAACCCCACGACAAAGTTTAAATATATACAGAAAAGTGTGCCAAGATTAGTAATGTGAATTGCGGAGGACAAGAGTGAAGTGAAATGTGACAACGATGCTGGATTGCATATAATCAGCTGCTGATTGCACACTCAGCCTAATCTTCTTCAAAGTTGCTGGGAAGATAAAACAGAAGAGACGAGAACATAGTCAACCACTTTGGGTCCCCACTGGGGAGAAAGGTGAGATATAAATGAAATAAGTAAATAATTTAAAAAAATATATCAAAGAATTCTCTTCTTCCAGATCAATCCAAGTTAGCACAGAGTGTTAGACTAGTATCTGGAAGACCTGGGTTAAAATCCCTTACCTACCATGAAGCTTGCTGGGCAACCTTGGACCAGTCACAAACTCACTCTCAGCCAAACTCGAGGAAAGGGTTTACGTGAGAATCAAACGGAGGGAGAAAAATGTATACCACCCTGAGCCCCACAGAAGAAGAGTGGGATAAATACATAACTAAATTATAACACATCTCATTCATTCAGGATCACACAAGTGAAACTGGCGTGAGATAATAGCAAACCTGGGATTTAAAAAAAACAACATCTTCCTTCAGTCTCATTCTAGTAAGAACAGTGAGACTTGACACCTTGGACAAGAAAACTCAAGACTATAAACTTTATTGGTTGCTGTTTTAGGTAGTGGAGGAACTTGGTGTATGGAGTTATCATGTACTTTTGTATATTACAATGGCAAGAAAAATTATAATATAAGGCTAATATTATGGGTGACAGCCATTCAGAAGACATATTTCCAACCCACGTATTGGAGTGCAAAAACTTATATTTTACTCTGCATCCCCTTGTCAATAAAAATGTGCAAAATGCAGCTATTGGTATAAGGTAGAGAGGAATGCCTCAGAGTCCTAATCTTGTGAAAAGGTAGCTTCTAAATGACCTATAGTTTTGCTGCTGAAAGAAGCTAAAGGGTGATAGGCCATGTCAGTTTCAAAATGGCTGACCATGAAATGAAACTACTCAGCACAGGCAGGTAAAATGAACATGCCCTTTTCTGGATGAGGTTCAACAAATTACTGTTGAAATAAGTTTTCATAATCTACTCAGCACTGTGTTTGACAGCAGAATAATATTTTATCAGAGTGTATTTTTCAAACTATTTCATTTTAAGAATGCATTAACCATTACAACTGCTTACTTAATCTTAAATTAACTGAACAGCTTAAAGCAAAGTTATCATTATTAAAAATATGCAGCCAGCAGCCAGCTGTTAATCACATTTTACTAATGACTCCTATTTTTGAAACAGTAAAAGATAAGGTACAACTGTTAAAGTTTGCTATTATTATTTCATAAGCTTGTAGGAAACTGTACAAATTGAAATTGTTCTGAAATAGTATTTCTAGAATAATTTCATAGGTAACCAGCTTTCCTTTGATAGTTACTCTGCATCTACTTCTACTCCCAAAGCAGCAAGCATCCATTTTGTTTAAAACAAGGCATCCCTTTAGGAGTAGGAGTTATGGCAAAGACATCTTAAAAGCAATGTCTGGCTACATTTTGAGGCTACATTTTGCATTTCGAACTCTGCTAACGATTTCTTGCATTATACCATCTATTATTCAGACTGATTTTTCAACCATCTTGACATTTGGTCTAGTAAGTGACTTGCAGGTGCTCAAGACAACTGTGGCTAAAAGAAATCAAGCTACACTTTCATAACTGGATATATAATCTTCTTTACTTGTTAAAATAATGCATATGGGTTAAAAGTGGGTAATGTGACAAGATGTAATCACAGTTTCAGATTTTCAGAACAAAGTTGCAAGATAAAACATTTCACATTTAAGATCAATGTAAAGGCATAAAGCTAATTCTTTTCATCAAGTGATCATTTCCGAGCTATGTGATTCAATATTCACCCACAGGTTAGCGCTTGGTAGAATACATGTATAGGTTACTGAAGTCCATATACAATAAAATAAAAAATAACCAGCTAAAAGCAATCCTTTCCCCCATTTTGTCTAAAACTATTTCAATCCCAGCTGTTTTTGCATCTCAAATTGCTCATCACTATGCAACAATATTAAGAGATTAATGTGAACTTACATACATATAATTATTGTTACGCATATCAAGCTAGTTCTGTGGAATTCCTCATCATTAGAAAAGGGACATCCAGCTGATAAAAATCCAACAGTCTCTTTGTACAGCTTAATAAACAACAGTGGCCCCACCCAAGCCCTGACTCTACTAGAGAAACACATACCCAATGGAAAACTAGAGCTTAGTTCTACCTCATTTCATTCCAGCAGCCAGAAAATGCACATGGGTCAAAAATACAACTCTGTTTTTCTGCTATCTGTTCTACAAACCAAGAGAAAGAAAACACTAGTGAGCCTAACTACAAGAGAAATCTGACTCAGGAGAGGGGGGGGGGTGTTCTGTAGAGGGCTATAGTTAAGCTCTTGCAACATCAATTATAAGGTACAATCATTTGTTCCCAGAAACTAAAAGCAGGTAATTACATAAATGGTGCTAATATTATATGCCTTGCCTTGCTAAACCGACTAAGGCTGCATTCAGATGGCTAGCTGTCAAGCTCACCCACCCACACACCTTGTTCCTTTCCCTTGCCTTTTTGTGTGCAGAACTGCAGTTCCAACGCTAACTCCGGTAACACATGCTATCAGGTGTTCGGATTAACCAGAGTTGTTTTCTCAACTCCACTAACTTTAGGATCATGGTTAGTGAGAAGAGAACAGAGTATAATGTTTGTTAGTCTGCATTCTTGCATTCACACATCATAATTAACTGAAATTCATTATAAGCATGATTCTCTGGGGGAAGGTTGGGGTGGAGTAAGGCACTCATAAATAGGGATGGGCACGAACCGCAAAAACACAGTTTGGTTCGTGGCTAAACCACCAACCAAACTACCAACTGAACTGCTCTCTGACTAACTGGTTCGGTTCCTGGTTTGTGGGCCCAGCAAACCTCATTTAAAGGGACCGCAGTCCCTTTAAATGGTGGTTTCAGAATGCAGCAAAAACAGCTGAGCAGTGAGAGTGCTCCCAGCTGCTCAGCTGTTGGGCCTTCTTGTGCAGACTGTAAAGTTTAAAGGGACTGTACATGAAAGCCGGGAAACAGGGAGCAGCCTGTCCAGGGTCAGATGCCACTTCAACAGGGGAAGCACCTGTCCTTCCCAAGGCAATCAAGGAAAGCCCAGGCACTCACCCACCCTCCTCTGTCACCTGAGGATGCCTCCTGGACCTCGCATCAGGAACTCACCCAGGAGACCAGTGGAAGAGAAGGCCAACAGCAGAGAAGGGAAGGCCAGCTGAGGTGGTCGGCGGAGGAAGACACCCAACCCATGTGGCCCCTGGGCTGGAGTGGCCTCCTTCCCTGCCAACACCACATCCCCCCACCCTGGGCTCCTGGAGTGGGCCCAGCCACTGTACTGCTGCCATGGCCTGTGGCTGCGCCCCTGCTGCCACTGCGTGGCTCACCGCAGCAGTCTCCTCCACCGACTGCCTCTGCTGGCCAACCCTTCTCCACTGCTGGTCTCCTGGGTGAGTTCCTGATGGGAGACCAGGGGGCAACCTTGAGTGACAGGGGGAGGGTGGGTGAGTGCCCGAGTTCTCCTGTATTGTCGGGTAACAGACAGGGGCTTCCCATGTTGAAGTGGCACCTGACCCTTTAAATCCCTGCTTTCTGCTCTGGCCAGAAAGCGGCACGAATCCCATGAACTGCCTTAAAAGTTCGTGGAAGTCTTTGATGTGGACCTATGGAATTCAGTTCCCGAACCACAAACAGGGCAAAATTAGTCACAAATTTTCCTTCGTGGTTTGGTTCATGTCTATCCCTACTCATAAATGCAGAAACAAACCTAGTACAGATTTTTACTTAGCTGTGGTTAAGTATTACATGAATGAACCCATATATTAACACTTATGTGTCCAGGGAGATCATAGAATGTTAAGAGTTGGAAGGTACCTTGCAGGTCATCTAGTCACCAACCCCTTGCACTCTGAAGGAGCATAGCCGAAAGATAGCCCTACAACATACCTGAAAGATGTTCATCCAGCCTCCACTTGAAAATGTCCAGTGAAAGAGCATCCACCACTTCCCGAGGCAGTCTGTTCCACTGCTCAACCACTCTTACAGTTAGGAAGTTTCTCCTGATATTTAGCCGGTAACAACTCCCTTGTAATTTCCACCCATTAGATCTAGTCTTGCAATCCGGAGCAAGAGAGAATAGATCTGCTCCATCTTCTACATGACAGCCTTTCAAATACTTGAAGACTGCAATCATGTCCCTTCTAAGCCTTCTCTTTCTCAGGCTAAACATACCCAACTTTTTCAGCCTTTCCTCATAAGACTTGGATTCCAACCCTCTCACCATCCTGGTTGCCCTCTTTTGGACACACTCGAGCTTGTCAACATCCTTCCTAAAATGTGGTGCCCAAAACTGGACACAGTACTCCAGGTGAGGCCTGACCATAGCAGAATAGAGAGGAACTACCACCTCTCGTGATCTGGACACTATGCTTCTGTTAATGCATTCTAAGATTGCATTAGCTTTCTTCGGAGTCACATCACACTGCAGGTTCACATGTGCGGCTGTCAAGCCAAGTCCCTCCCATTCTACATCTGTGCATTTGATTTTTTTGATTTTTTTGTACCTAAGTGTAGGACTTTGCACTTATCTCTATTGAAATTCATTCATCTTTCAACATTAACAGTATTTTAGATAACGAAATATGCTAGTGTTTTAATAAAGGACACTTTCACCAGACCACCTTTGGAAACAAGAAAACAGTGGCGAAAATACAGATGAAACTTGCAACAACCTTATAGGAAGAGAAATCTTTTCTTGCCCATGTATTTTGAATAAACATGCATGTTC